ACATGGAATATAATAAACTATTGCCTAGGGTTACTCTACAATCTTGGTTATGGTTTAATGGGATTATATTAGGGAAGAAATGTTTTGTGCGGCTGATGACTTAGATTTACTAGCAAGGAGCCATGATATACAGCTGTTTCGAGAAAGGTTGTTCTGCATGATATGCGTGATTATAAGCATACGCCATAACATCGATAGGTATTCTGGGTAGTCGCATATCCCCATTGACTGTTAAAGTTCATTTTGCTTAAACACGAATAATAATAATAATAATAATAATAATAATAATAATAATGTGATGAATACTTAGCAATTATTCACCGAAGTGGAAGTGAATAATCGTTGATATTCACCGCATTCACTGACACTGAGGTGAATAATTGTTCTAGTACATACCACTCAAGCTGAATAACTAGCGGACCAAAAAGCTGCTTTAGTCGATTGACAATAAACCAACAAAAGGTTGGAATTTTCAAAACCTCTACTCGGAGGTAAAAAAAAATACTCCAAGTTGGCCAATGAACGCGCGAGAAACAAAATTCACTTGTCAGTTCTGATATTAACTAACCCTATTTCGCCCAAGCAATAGGTCGGCATAAACTGCCGAACTGATGTCAAACTTTGTTTATTGAAACAACATTCAAGCTATAGTGGTTAAACATTGAGACATTTTATACAACTAGCGGTGTCAATTGTTTGGTAGATCGCTTATGAGCGAGTTTCTTCCGATATTCAAGTACAAAACCACCAACTGATGTAACTGAGGTCTCTTCAACAATGTCATCTACAGTATATTAGTTTTATAATTGTAAATCGTTCTTTAACAGCACATCTACAGCTTGTAAAGAAGAGCCTGATATCATTTAATATGCCTGTATTTTTCTGAAAAACTAAAAACAAACAAATGTTTTCGATTTCTACCGCTAAGCAAAACAAAGTTAATCGTTTACTTACTCAAAGATGTGCTGGCTTCGGCTGTCCCATTCTTATCATTATAAAACAGACACTTGTAGATCCCAGCGTCACTCGGCTTGAAGCGATGAATCACAAATTCACCCTTAATTACATCCGTTACGTCATGCTTCGCCTTAGAAATAACAAGTCGTCCATCCTTGAACCACTTGACTTTAGGTAACGGCAAGCCACGAGCAGAACAGTTTAACTTGACAGTATCGCCAACATTCTGCACTTGAATTTCGTAGGAAGGACTTGACACAATGAAGGGATTTACTTGAAGAGACAAATCACAGTACAATTACAACCGCTTTTAGTTTCACGATACTATTTCCGTTTATCTTAAGCTTACCAACATCTTTTACAAAGATCCATATCACTGCCATCACACTCCCCAGTTCATTAGCTCCTTGGCAAACGTAAGCACCACCATCGTCTTCCGTCGTGTTTGTAATCGCAAGTGTATCGCCATAAATGACATGTCTGTTGACGGGAAGTTCCTTGCGTGATCTTGTCCATGTAATCACAGGTGAAGGGTAACCAAACATGTCACATTTGAGAATTGTGTCCCAGTTCTTATAAGCAATAACAGAACTCTTCGGTTCTGTGGTAAATTTTGTCGGTACTGCAAATCAAGCAGACAAAACAGAGAAAGAAGAAATTTTCGCGTGAAGCAATATCACTGTAAACACATTTTTAACGAGTGATAGCGTATATAGAATGAGTTACAACAGTTAGTCGGGGAAGAAATAATACACTCGCTCAGTCAGTTAGTCAGTCAGCCAGTCTCCTGGTTACACGTAGTTGTTAGGCCGTAAACATTTTTTTTATTTTTAGGGTAATTCCTCGGAGATTTCGCGAGAGGGCCGACCATTGTGAAGACAATGCCTGATAGAAGGATGAACTGATCTTTCCTGTTAGGAGTTGAACAAGTGCTCCGAAACTATAAAGACTCTATGGTATGCAAGAAAGGTGGTTGTGTAATTCGATCCATCGATAGCTTTGACGATGTCTCTTAAGGTGTCTCGAAACAGTTTGTTTTTGTTTTTGTTTTTGTTTTTGTTTTTGTTTTGTTTGTTTGTTTGTTGTTGTTGTTGTTTTTTTTTCCTGGACCATCCCGTGCATTTTTAAACAAATTTTATTTGCCGGCCGGGAGGTCCGTATAGTCAAAACCTGTGACCGAGGTCTTGAAAGTGCTGCCCTCGGCCTGCGGCCTCGGGCAGCATTTTCAACCACGAGGTCACAGTTTTTCTCTATACAGACCGACCCTAAGCCGGCAAATAACATGTTTATTTTTTTTTTTCTTGCGGTAAATTGGTTTTACAGATTACAAATGGGTTTAGTTACGCACCTCTTGTCATTGAATCGGGTTGCGCGCCGTCTACTAACGGTTTGTAAAAAATCTTGGCAACGAACTAGTAACTCAGATAGTAGACAAAGAAAGATGTATTAAAGAACAAATATTTTTTTTCGAAATACTTTATGTTAGTTGCATTTATTTCACCAGTTAAGTTCTTCAAAATTGTTTTTGCGGTGTGAAATTTCC